CCCTCCGAGTTACAAAAGCGGTCGATTACAGATTATATAATTCCATATCCACATCTGGAAAGTGGGCCTGTTTCTTAAATATGTGATTCCCAAATAAAATACTACTTGATTTGTAAACTATCTGTTTAATAGTATAAAGCTCAAAATTGCAAAAGGGCAGGAGTTGGTGACATTTTTCTGTAAGGGACCAGATGATCAGTATTTTAGGCTTGCAGGCCATATGATCTCTGTTGAAACTACTGTGCTCTGCCACAACAGCACAAAAGGAGACACAGACAGCACAGAAATGAATGAATATGGCTGTGTTCCAATAATACTTTATTTACAAACACAGGCAGTGGGCCACAATTTTCCAACCACTGGTTCAAAGGATGTTNGGTCTCTGGATGGAATGTTCCAAAACAAGTGTCATTGAAATACTGCACGTGTTAACATCTAAACGGCTAGAAAATTCTAGTGAACCTGTACCCTGGCCAGATGTTGGCACATCTGGGATGGCAGCTGCTGCACAAGCACTTTCTTTTAACCTGACGATGTGGAAACCAAATTCCTGCAGGGCACACTTCCTCTCTAGGTGGTTTCAACTGCCCACCCCTCACCCCCACCCAAGTTGGCATCTCCTGCAATCAATCAACTACAGAAGACCTGGACCATGGTTCCAGCCCTCCGAGTTACAAAAGCGGTCGATTACAGATTATATAATTCCATATCCACATCTGGAAANACTTTATTTACAAACACAGGCAGTGGGCCACAATTTTCCAACCACTGGTTCAAAGGATGTTGAGCTGGAATTTGCCAGCAAAGAGGGTCTGGTCAGTCCTGGACTTGTGTCAGCGATGGTGCCCTTGGACATCTCCATGAAGATGTCTATTGTAATTAGCCAATTTTTATAAGGAAACTAAAAGGGAAATGGTTACTTGTAGATTACCCCCAATTATGAAAACATTACCTGCACAAAATCTAGAGACTCAAAGTCTACGTGATATCCTCTTCTCAGACTCTCTGGAACATAATCAGAGGGCAAACCAAGGCCTCATTGCCAGATCCTGTGACCCTGTACTATGTCCTTGCTGTTCCCAAAGATCCCAAAGAAGAGCTCTGTCAGCTA